AATGAAAGGAGGCAGAAAGAAGAAAAAAATCTTATATCTGCCCTTTTTCCAAAATTTATTTCAAATAATAATAATAATAAAACAAAACAAAAATTAAAACTTCAATTCCTTTTCAAACAACAACTTTTGATATACATTATACAGTTTCATATTTCTTTAACAAACTTCTTTCTCTTTAACACATTGAACTAGCATTTTTATAATCGCTTTCCAGATTATTCCTCAATCTTATTCCCTGATCCGAAGTACATCGGTCCTTCAAGTTTGTTCGAATTCTGGGTTTCACAAACATCTCATGTCCTTTAAGATTATAAGAACTTTCTCTCTTAACAAAATACAACTGGATGTTTAAAGGCAACATTTTTTTATAAGCCAATTTACAAAATAATATATTCGAAGGGTGACTGTAATGTTGTCTGAAAATTCTTACAGCTCTTTTCTGTAAAATAAAAATAGGATTTGTGATTGTTTTACATGCTTTACCCCAGACTTCAACACAGAATACCAAGACTTAAGACATTAAAATGTTGCTAACTTGCTGACAGGCGCTGTAAGTAAAACAACTGTTGCAAAACTGTTCTAAACCAAGCCAGGGAACATGATGTCTGATATTTATTAAACTAAACGCTCACTCCGTTCACAATGAGGATCGAACACAGGAGGAGTTGCACCAACAACCGTTCCCCACCTTGAAAAGCAGTCTGTCATTTCTGTGTCGTCCTGTTTGGGGCCCAGCTGGCTGAACTCCACCCTTTTCCCTCAGTCACCTGAGGACTTTTTGGTTATTCAGCTCAGAGGATGCAGCGAGTCGTGCTGTTTCAGCCCGGTGACATTCCTCTCCGTCAGGCTGAAAGTATCTCGATCTGTGCCGTCTCTTAGACAAAGTCACATTCTTGTGTTTCTGTGCCGTTTATGGCGCTTCGACTTGTAAAATGAGTCCAAGTGGCTCACAACTCTAGAATCTGCAAAGGTTTAGTTCCTTTAGCTCCAACTATGAATGTTTTACAGTTTTTCTTTAATCATTACCAGAACGAGCGAACTTCTGCAGGCATCTGTTTTTAAACTCAGTGATATGGTCTTTATGTGCTGAATGTACAGATTATTTCCTTCAAGGTTCAGGAAGTTCAGCAAAAAGGAGTGCAAGCAACAAAAAAATACTTCTTTTTCTGATACTATAACTTGGCAATAAAACATAGTTAGAATAAAACACACCTTGGACTGTGAATTAGGCTGTTCTGTTCACTAAACCTGCATCTTTTAATTCAGTTTTAAACCTGGTTTATCTAAGCGAGTAACACCACTTCTTCAGGTGAGGTTGTGGTTTTTTTTTTAGGGTTTGTAAGCTAGGACAAGATTCTTTCTTGTAGATGAGGGAACAAACTATGTGGGTTAGGCCACTCTGACGCTGACGTCGCAGCAGAAACGATCCTGAGCGAGCTGCTTGTTTGGTTCCAGGTGAGACGCAGCCCTCCTCTGGTGCCTGTTACGGTTGTTGCACTAAGTTTAATCTGTTTATGTTGCATCAGCTTCTGCTTGATGTTTTGGACAAACCAAGCAAGGCTCGGTTTGATTATTAATTTGAACTTTTCCCAGAGTTTATCGGTAACCGGCTCGGCTGGAGTTCTGGCACGTTGGCTCAAAACATCACCCAGGCAGAGCAGCTCACCTGGTGGCTGGGTGGGGAATTTGGCAGGGATGCTTTTGAAAAAGACAAAAAAAAGCTGATGCGGTGACACATGCATACACAGCAGAAGCACAATTTCCTGCTCCTTGCTGTAGGAAAACTTCTGTGCAAGCCATAAAGAGAGGCTCTGGTTTCTCTCAGAAGCCAGTGGAAAATTGTAACTCCTCCTGCAGCTGAACAAATTATTCCAGAGCAGTTACTTTCTTTTCCCCTCGCTGTAGTTATAAAAGAGGGGAAAAAACCGCTGATTTTTCACCTTAAAGGTTCGACGAGTGACATGTTTCATCTTAATTTGGATGAAAATAGCTTCATAGTCTGGCTTCATGGATGTTAATATTAATGATGAGTTTGAAGGAGCCCTGCAGCCGACTCACCCCGCCTGTCTCCAGACAGGATGCCAGTCACTCAGCACAGTCACTCCCTGTTCATTGGTCCAACAATAGGATGTCTTTGTTCAACATCAGGCCTCATGGTGCTCTCAGGAGCTCTACATTAAATACATCACATGAAAGCAAAAAGGGCACATTTGATTCAGTCAAGGTTGGTTAAGGGATCAGTCAAACATTGTGTTTTTCATCTTTCATAGTAGCTGCGTTTCCATTGGCTGTGAAAATGCGCAAATTAGAATTTCGAAAATAAATTTGCTCAATGGAAACACGTCAGTTTCGAAAAAAATTACGTTTTTCGACAAAATGTTTTTGCGCTAGGATGAGGTGGTTTTTCGGCCGTATCAAAATGGGTGTTTTTCGCAAAACTGCAATGGAAACACTTTTTTTTCCGCATCACGGGAGTCACACGATCAACAACTGGCTGTTTCTACTGGCGAAAAAGATGACGAAGAAGATAACAGGAAGTAGAAGTAGTAGTAATATCACAGAAGTAGTAAAATAAAGTAGTAAACTCACTGACTACAATTTCCCAAAAACACAGCATACGTAGCCGCTCCCAAGCCTCGATAAAAGACACCGACGTCTCCTCTGATGATGAGCGCTAGTGTCGTGGTAGCAACATGCTATGTGTTTACATCCATTGCCGCCATGTTTGTAATGATTTATTGCGAGAACAAACGTATTCACGTGACTTTAATAGCATTTCTTACTTAATGGAAACAACGCAGTTGCGACACTTGTTTCAATCCAAATTTAACTCTTGGATTATGTTTTTTTAATAACATTTTGTTGGACAAAAAATGTCCTGATTAACATGTTTCCAGTCACAGACATGTTTTATTACAAGAGGGCATCTTTTTTAAAATGTCTGCCAGATCTTGATGATTCTACTCCAAAGTTTATATTTAGCTCTGGGGATTTATGTGTGTCTTCTAAATAAATTGTTTAATTGTTATATCAGGTTTAAAGTCAAAAGATGAGACGTTTTTAAATTATAGTTATGTAAAGTTTCCCATTATATTGTTGGAAGAAACCCCACAGACTCATTTAGAAACATTAGAGAACAAATGACCGTATCGGTACTGAAATCTCTTCCTTGAAACAAGTTTTAGTTGAATTCCTTTTTGTTTCTGTTTAAAAATGACTGTTACTATTTTCACTTTGTATGATTCTGTCCAAGAGATTGCCTTTATTTAATGAATTTCGAGATGGTTTAAGAGCAAACTATGGAATATGTTCCAGGTTACAGATAAAATAATGCTAAGGCGTTTTTCATTTTTCAGTGTGTTTGTTAATTTTTGCCAATAACAATTAAAAAAATGCTACAGTTTGTCTTGTTTTATGATAATGCCTTGTTCTTTAGAGGTTATGACAGATTTTCTTTAACATTTTACTGGCACAGGTAATTTATAAAGTTGAATCAAATGATGATTGGGGAAAAAGAAAGTTGCAGCCACTTTGTATAAACACTTTGCTTTTTTTTTTTGCAGGTGGTAAAAACTATTGGTTTACGTGAAATCTGGTACTTTGGACTGCAATATATAGACACCAAAGGTTACCCCTCTTGGCTAAAACTGGAAAAAAAGGTAAGTTTCTGTTTAAATACAGCTTATTAAGTGTCACTGTTTGAGAGGAGGACATTTTCTGGTATGCAAACATTTTTTAGTCTTTATTAACTTTAGTGAATCATCGAGACCACACCATGAATAACTCTAGTGAATCATCGAGACCACACCATGAATAACTCTAGTGAATCATCGAGACCACACCATGAATAACTCTAGTGAATCATCGAGACCACACCATGAATAACTCTAMAGTCTTATTTATTTAATAATCTTTAATGTCGTCATGTCTGTCATTTATATATTTAAGTACAAACTGCTTGAGATCATCTCTGCTCATGCTTTATAATTCTGTGGAGTAATACAGGAGGAATGTATTGTTTTGCAGCTCACTCATTCACTCTGTTTGCATTTTAGTGAATCAGTAGCCATCATATGTAATCCCCCCACCCCACCCCACCCACACATGCATGGTTCCACCCTCACCACAGCCGCTGGTTTCAAGGCCTGGCTGCATGTTATCAGCTGGAGGTGGATTATTTGAACTCTTTTTGAACCGTAGCTGCTGATTCTTTCCTTTTATTAAACACCTTTTTCTTGAGATATGTATAATCTGACTAAACACGAGTAAACCAGGAGGCAACAAAGTCCAGTCCAGGTCCTTGCAGGCCACTTCCCTGCATGTTTTTAGAGGTGTTTCTGCTCCAACGCAGCTGATTTTGAAAGAATTGGGGATTTACAGGCTACTGCAGAACATGAAGAGGTAATTTATTCATTGAATCAGGTGTGTTGGTGCAGAGAAACCAGTAGAACCGGCAGGATAGCGACCCTCGAAGGACTGGCACCACTGTTTTAGATTGCTGATTCAGCAGAATACATAGATATCGACACAGCTTGGTAGATTAAATTATACGTTTTTAAAAGGTTTAAGTTTCACAATGAAGAAAAAGTTCATTTTCAGGTGGTCTAATTTCTGTAGCTAAGTTTTTTTTATTATTTAAATCCCCTCCCAGGTGTCACAGCAGGACGTGAAGAAGGAGAACCCGCTACAGTTCAAGTTTCGGGCCAAGTTCTTCCCGGAGGACGTGTCCGAGGAGCTGATCCAGGAAGCCACCCAGAAATTCTTCTTCCTGCAGGTGAAAGACGCCATCCTGGCTGACGAGATCTACTGCCCACCAGAAACGGCCGTGCTGCTGGCCTCCTACGCCGTTCAGGCCAGGTTTGGTGACTACAACAAAGAAGTTCACCAGCGTGGATACCTGCTGTCTGAACGGCTGCTGCCTCAAAGGTAAAACATACCTTCCTGACAGCAAGTCAGGCTTACTTACAGTAATAAATTAGAGACCTAGAATTTCTTGAAGAAATACATCACCAGCTGCCTCGGGTGCATTTAGGTGATTTGTCAATATTCTCTATTTCAAATCATAAAAGGACACTTATGGTCTTTATGCTTTGATTATTCAGCCACGTTTACTATTTCTTTTCCTCCAGATGTGTCCAATAAATCCAACATGAAACTATTAGAAACTTGAAGCATTATATGCAGGAAAATTGCAGCACAGTTCTATGGAGTCAGATTTGTTACACAGCTGGTTTGTTAGCGGTCGCTGTTTGGTCTTGTAGCTGATTTTGTGACGTCACTCTGTATGTAGAGTCATGGAGCAGCACAAGTTATCCAAAGAGCAGTGGGAGGAGAGGATTCAGGTGTGGCACGAGGAGCACTCCGGCATGTTGAGGTGGGTTGATCTAAACTGATTAAATCCTGGAAACGTTGATGAGAGAATTTTAATCTTCTTGCAGGGAGGATGCTATGATGGAGTACCTGAAGATCTCCCAGGATCTGGAAATGTATGGAGTCAACTACTTTGACATTAAGAATAAGAAGGGAACAGACCTGCGGCTGGGAGTGGACGCGCTGGGACTCAACATCTACGAGAAAGATGACAAGTAAGTTTGTTTTTACGAGGCCTTTGAGCACAGAGCTGCTCTGTTTGTTGCTAGCTGCAGCCCTGCGCTACAAAATGAAACAATCTGTGCCTAGAGACACTTCCTGTTTCTGTGCACAAACAACTGTGAGGGTAAAATTAAAGTTTTAATGATGTTTGAGCTTTGGTGCTTCTCAATTTTATTTGTTGTATTTTAAACATGAAGTCAATTATAAGAAATACCTTTTCTTTGGATAATAGTTACACAGCTTAGATACAGTCTTTCACTGGATTTACTCATCATTTCTAAAACTTTATTCTTATAAAATCTCTTTATTACTCACCTTTAATGTGACCCTCACACTCCTTATCCTGGTGTCTTTGGACCACCACTGAAACAACTTCATATCTCCTCCTTTTCAAAAATGCCTTCATCTGGTTGTCCTGATTTCAAGACTAAACCAGATCAAATTGGAGGGACAGTTCAGTGCAGGGGGGTCCAACTCATGAGTGTTATGGTGGCCTTCAAAGGGCCAGTTGTAATTAACTTCAAAGTTTCAATGAAACACAAAACATTATGTTCCTGGTCTCATTGCTACGACTGAGCACCGCTAACGAACACTAACTGAGCTCTACCTGGTATTTCCTGCATAGAAACAGTGTTTTAACACATCCTCTTATAAACTCTAAAAAGTACCACGTGTACGACTAAATGTGAAATAAATAATACAGAAATACTATTAAAAGTAAGAGATACTTAAACACTGTTTAAATGTGGGGAGTTGCTGCCATCTTGAATTCTGAACCTTCAGACGTGGATTCCCTATCATAGGAGATGTCGTTTTTGGTCAGTGTTGGCTTTAAAGCTCATACAGGACTATTCAACTAAATTGCTCAGGAGGTCATAGTTAGTCAAAGCCAACAGCTAAGGGTCTGGACAAATATTATCTTTCACCCTTTTTAAATTAGTTTATTTTGGTGTATTTAATCTTACATTCAAAGTTTACTATTTGTATTAAAAGTATTTTCATTTTAAATGAGGTATTTGGCGGGCCAGACAGAAGTCACCTGTGGGCCACATTTGGCCTGCGGGCCTTAAGTTTGTTTCGTGATTTAGTGCTTTGTAGTGGTGTTTTTTTTTTTTTTTTCAGATTAAATAATCGCTTGACATCTTAAGGTGAGAGGGAACAGGAGGATCTTAAATCTGAAGTATTTTATGATAAAACAGTTGGCTGTCCTGGTCTGTACAGCTCTTTATGTCTGATTACTGATGTACAAACTAAACAGGGTTTTTTTTAACTGCAGATGGTTCTCGTCACGTCGCAGATTCACATTTTATCTCGTCGTGATTTACACCTGACTCAGGTTTGGCTCTTGCCCCAGTGCTGAAGCAGATAATAGTTACTGAACCAGGTTGACATCTTCAGTCAGTCACTGCCTACTTTTCCTGTTCAGCAGAGAGAAATGTAAATATTCCTGTTTTGAATCGTCCTCTGGAGTTTTTAACTTTGTGCTCCAACTGCAACCTACTTATTCCGATCTGTCGCAGGTTTTTATTTTTATTTGCTTTTGATGTCCAGTTTGTTTATGAAGTGTGGGAGATAATGCCTCCTTTGTTTGTTTTGCTGGAATGACTTCTGAGATCTCCTGTGTGGAGTTACTGGAGTGAAGGACTCTGTATCAAAAGTGCTCTCAGATGACTTACCCGTACCTTTCAGTCTCTGAGCTTAACGCTGGAAATGCTGCCAGCTCTGCTCTGCCTGAGTTCTTGCAGATTAGAGCTTTTCCCATTCTGAAGAGGCCTCCGAGTTTTCACATGTGCCTGTGGAAGAAACGAGCCCGGCACAGTGGTGGTAATGACAAGACTGAGTCTGCTGCCTTAATGAGGCTTTAACTGAACCTTTTGATGGTTAATTCTTTCTTTTTTCTAGTCTGAAAGATTTAAGTATGGACTGCTGTTAAGTAGATCCAAGTCTTTCATTTAGTTGCTGAAACCTAACGGGTGTCTCCACCAGGAGAGTCACAATCAGAAAGTTCTTCTGCTTCCTGGGATCAGCACAGGAAGGCCTCCTCTACAATGCCCTCTACTGTAGCCAAGGATATTCCAACTGGTTTTTCAAGCTGTGCTGCACTCAGGAACGCTGTGTCTCCAGTAAGAGCACCTGGCCCACAATGCAACAGTGTAGCCAAGGCTCCTACTGAGGTGCAGCCTGAGGCAGCTTTAACTCTTTATGCTCCTGATGTTCACTTTATTTGATCATTGCTGACAAACACAAACCAGCTGTACAGCTATGTAAATGTTTTTTAATATCTGGATTAGTTGAAGTAATTAATTACGGCAATTATAAAAAAAAATAGTCAACATGGAATTTTATTATTGAATATTTGCATTATTTAACCATGTAAATGTTCATTTGTAACTGCAATGAAATCCATGAAATGCTGTGGTTGCATTGATTAATGCTGAAGAAGAGTGCAGTGGGCTCAGCAAAGTCTGATAATGACAGAATGGCATGATCATGTCAAAAAGGCAAAAAAAAAAAAAAAAAAAAACAAGACATAAACCTTTTAAAAGTTGACTGAATTTTACTGAAAATAAACCAAAGAAAGTAAAAACCCTAAGCCGCACAGCTGTTAGCGCTTCATGATCACCTGAAGCGCTAACAAGCTACAGCCGTTGTGTCCTCTCCAGGTGGGTCAGTTTCAAAGAGTTAGCTGGTTCATCAGGTCTGATGAATCTTATTTTCAGTGACAGACCACTTCGTGCTGTAGCTATCTGTCCATAACTTCTGTTAGTTTACATTAATTCCCAGAACACAAACTGTTTGTTATGCTAACGTTAGCTAAAGTGCTATCATATTAAATCACTGAGTTATCGTAGTAATCCAGCCTGTCTCCTCTTCTCCCGTGTTGTTTTTTTTTCTTTCTTTTTTCATTAAAGGTTTGGATTTTAAATCCAGCAATATTTCAAACAGGATGGGTTATTTTTTACTTTTATTCTCCTGAATGTCACTTCAAACCAGTTATTCTTTAGTTTATTTTGGACCTGCAGCAGATGGGGGAGCTGGGGGAGAAGCTTTTACTGAGTTATATGCACATTAGCTGTTTGTTTAAAAGACTACTTTCAGTTTAATTTGTATTTAATTACAATTTTCTTGCGCCCACATATATTAATGTTAGATATACATGTGATTAAGCTATTAGGCTCAAGTTTTATGGATTCATAAAGAGTTCGCAATCTGTTTAGAAATGTTTAGTCTGCATGTACTCGTATTTGCTATTAACTGGAACCATAAAAGCAGCAAAAAATGTGAATTTTTGGCAGGAATGCTTAATTAATCATACTTTTGTTTAACCGAATTTTAAATTGTTGCGTCCACACGTGATTAATTTAAGATAAAACAGCTGTCATTACAGAAGAGCAGAGGACATTTTTAATCTGCCTTAAACAATAAAGTGGAACTCTCTAGAGAATAGAGCAGACAGGATGGATGCAGAATCTGATCTTCATGTGGTCTTGTTTTCAGATTGACCCCAAAGATTGGCTTCCCCTGGAGTGAAATCAGAAACATCTCCTTCAACGACAAGAAGTTCGTCATCAAGCCTATTGACAAGAAGGCTCCTGTGAGTCGAATGTCATTTATATGTTCTGAACGTTTTAAAACCTCTAAAATATCGAAGCTGTTTCTGTTGCTTTATATTGTTCTCCAGCTTTTAAACATTTCTTTTGTTAAACCCTTTAAGACATGTTGCTACCTGTGCCTCGGGGGTTAAATCACTTCTAAACTTCAGGATGTTTTATTAAAGATTATTTCTGTGCAGAAAAGAGAGAGCACGATCTAGCTTATAGAAAAGGTGATTGTTGCTTTTTTTTGGAGGGGCAACATCATTATTATTTAACGGCAAAAACAAAAGTGTTATAAACCACATGTGACTGCCTTTTATCTACTTTACTTTTTTACACTTATTGGCTCTATTTTAAACATTTTCCTAAGTGTTTGTTTCTCCTCCAAATTACAGGATTTTGTATTTTATGCACCGAGGCTGAGGATCAACAAGCGCATCCTGCACCTGTGCATGGGCAACCATGAGCTGTACATGCGCCGCCGCAAACCAGACACGATTGAGGTTCAGCAGATGAAGGCTCAGGCCAAAGAGGAGAAGCAGCAGAAACAGTTGGAGAGGTACTCAGAGGCTCGGGAAGAAGGAGAAATATGCAGATTCCTGTCTTCTAAATGAATTATAGCTAGTTTCTTGGCCTTAAGTGATATTATGTCATAATTACAGCATATTTATTCTTGCGTCGACTAAACTGAAAGTGAATAATGACCCTGGTCTCAGCAGCAGCTGTCGGCCTTCTGTCTGTCCCGAGCAGCTGTTCAAACATGATGATGCAACGCGACAGTTGAATTACAAAAGAAAAAAAATCATGGAAACACCAGGAGCGTGAACACGCACAATGTTTACATATAAGGATATCAATCAATCAATCAATCAAACTTTATTTATAAAGCGCTATAACATCAGCCACTGCTGAAACAAAGTGCTGAACACATAAAATAAAAACTGAATACAAAAACACAAAACAATCACACAGTTAAATAAGTAAAATCAACACCAATACAGTAAAAGTTGAGTAAAATCAAATCTCAGTTTGGTTGAAGGCCAGTGAGAAAATTATACATATTCTTATATGTATTAGCTCGGTGCTAGTGCAACAAACTAACAAGCTAAAATGAGGTCCTCCATCCATATTTTCAGTTACAGGGTGAGTGATGTTTGTGTTCCCCTCTCTGTCATGTGGATGGAGGACCTCAGTGACGAGAGGTGAATGTGTAGCGCTGAGCTAATACATATATATGGTGATAGCGTCGGGGCTAATGCTAAAGCTAACAGGCTAAGCTGTTCTTCCATGAAGCAGCTCTGTTGTCCTCCATCTATATTTTCAGTTCCAGGCTGAGTCATTTCTACCTTCTCCTCTCTGTCAACGCTCTCTGGTTTCATTTAAAAGAGTCGATCATCAGATATTGTCCAAGATTAACCTTCAGGGTGGATATAGCTCGCTAACAGCTTCGCACCGAGGACCTATCCACATCATCATTTACCCAGAATGCTTTGCGTGTAAATAAAATGTAATATATATTTTTTAAATATTAGTTTAAAAATAATAAAAACTAAACGTCCTACAGTATTTTTACAGTTTATTTCAGTTAAAAAATGTTTATCAAATAAAGTTTAATGTTACAACTAATCGTGGATCCTTTTTAAAAATTTAACAATAAAAGTATTTGTTAGTACTTCTGCACAATTTTAAAAAAATGTTGTGATTACCCCTCAACCCTGCAGTATGTAAACAGACAGACATTCTCAACAGACGACTTGAATAACACTTGTTGATGATCCTGCATTGTTTACTTTAGGACTGCAGCTAACGACTATTTTAGTAAACTATATATCTATTGATTATCCCGTTGATTAATCGGATAAAAAGTTGTCAGGCTCTGCAGTAACTACTTAAACAGGCGCGGCTTGTCCATAAGGGCAGGTGACAATATTCATTCACCCCACAAAGTAGTTCCTCTTAACAAACAATGTAAAATGCTTGTTTACGCAGCCTGCCATGTATTGTTTTGTTCTGTGTGCTTTTCAATTGTTTTGACAATCTTATATTGAATTTGAAATGTTTTTCAGTTATTAAAGCTCAGGTTTTTACTTATTTACAGTCATAGGGCAGTTCAGTCTGCTCTGCGTTCCTATCATGTTAATGTATACTCCCCCTGCTGGCAATAATCGGTATTACCAACTCCTCTGTTTAGAGTCTCATCAGGGGCGGTAAAAATTCAGCCTTATGGACACTTTCTGCTAGTTTTAGGACATTGATACAAACAGTAAACCTAACGTGAGCTCATAAAATGCAGGAATTTCACTCAGCAAAACTTATCCAGAAAGCTGTGTAGCTACCTGTCTGATCAATTTCTCCAACAACTAAATAAGTTTGGGTGGGAGGCGTTTTGCTTATTTAATGTCAGGACCTTTTTTTATTTTTTTTAACGAGACAACCTACGGTGAGGGAGAAGAAAGATGACATTTGTGCACAAATAACTGATTAAAAGTAACGTAGCCTATATTTTTCACAGAAAACATGCCACAAATTGTAACATTGTTTTTATTGATTTAGGGAAAACAATGTCCGCCCCACTCATTTTTATGCTCACAAGCTGCTTCTGTACTTAAACTTATTTTGCTGTGAAATACTTTCTTTGTATAGTTTTTTGAGACGTGTAAAAAGTGTCAACATCATTTATCACTTTAACATCTCAGCTCCCAGTTACATAAAAACAACTTCAACCAGCAGTGAGTCTCTACAGCTGTAGTCTTATCTGAGGGAAAAGAAAAGTTTTTCTTCTTTTAGTTGATCAAAATAAACTGTTTACTGAAATTGAAATGTTTGTTTTTCTGATTAATGTGCTGACAAACTTATTAATAATTAGTAAATTAAAGGAATGACTTGCAGCTGCATCACCGAACATGTTTTAGTTGTAGCTAACCGTTAAACTGGACTCTGTGCTCATGATGGATGCAGAGGTGGCTCCTCGTGTTGCAGAGCCGCTCAGCAAACAGGCTGCGAAGTTCAGTCTGTGTTTTTTATTTTAATATTTGTAAAGTCCGCTCACAGCGTCGTCCTCTCTGCAGGGCCCACCTGGAAAGCGAGAAGAAGAAGCGGGAGGCCATCGAGAAGGAGAAGGAGCTGATGGAGCAGGAGAAGCAGGACCTCATGATGAGGCTCTACCAGTTTGAGGAGAAAACCAAGAAGGCAGAGAAAGGTGTGAGGGGGGAGGGGCTTTCGGTGGCTCATCAATCGCTTCCTGTATCCCTGAGGGTACAAAACATGTTTGCTTTCAGGGTAATGGTTGGAAAATGTGTGCAGGTGCTGTAAACACCAGGCCAACAGGTTAGTCTGTAGATGCCAGGGAATCTTTTTAGAGTGACGCAACGATTTAACTGACTGAACATTTTTAGTTTATTTGACTTGCAAAGAAGAGAAAAAAATGTGAGGCTTGACGACTCTGGTTTTAGCTGCTTTTAATTCTGTCAAAAGGAAGTGGATTGATTATTATGCACATAATAATCTGGTCAGTGCTTCCATTATCTACTAAATAAAAGACAATTGATTCTGTTAATTTGAGGCCTTTTGATTAAACGAGTTGTGATCTGACTTGTGCAAGAAAAACAAACTGAGTGCAGTGTTAATAATTCTTTTTTTAAATATGAAAACTTAAAATGTTGCTGGATTTTTGTCTCAGTGGTTTGGTCCTCGAGGCCCACTATCCTGCATGTTTTAGTTGTTGGTTGTCAGATTCTTCACAAGCCTGTTAATCACTCATTCATACGAATCAGGTGTGTCAAAGCAGGAAACAAACATGCAGGATCCCAGAGGATCACTGTTTTAGCTCAGATTTTTCCAGTACAGTTTTGTCATTTGAAAGGTTTGATAAATGTGGATATATATTTGAACTTATCACATTTTACAAACTGTCTCAGTGCTGCTAATTGATTTATTTAATAATATTGTTTTGTCTTTATTGAATGCAAACCGAGTGCCTGTTAATATTTCACAGTAAAGACGAGGTCGGGCCTAAAACCTGTTCAGATAACCGACTGCTGGTGCTTTTCACAGCTCTGGTAAATAAAGGTTTGGTCATGTGATGGGTTTTATTGCCAAAACAAATCTTTAAAAGACTAAAGCTGAAACGTGAGGGCTGTCAGAACGGACCTGTTGATGTTCAGAATGAAAGAAAAACATCAGATCTAGCCAAACCCTGAGAACTGTGTCAGATATCAACTCTGATCTTAAATAAACTGCTGTGAACACTTCCTGTGTATCAGTCCGCACCTGAATGTAGTCCCTCAAGTAACTGCACGTGAACACCTACAGTTAAATAAAGACATTGTACGATGGATGCTGAAGCCTCTTCCTGTTTGTATTCCAGAGTTGCAGGACCAGATGCAGAGAGCCATGATGCTGGAGCAGGAGAGGAGGAGGGCAGCGGAGGAGGCCGCTCGTCTGGAGTCCGAGCGTCAGGCAGCCCTGCTGGCTAAAGAGGAGCTGGCCCAGCAGGCCGAGAGTCAGAAGAAGACTCACGAGCAGCTGGTCAGTATTTAGCTTCTTAAACAGTCTCAAAGAAAATATATTTAAGAAACGTGGCATATTACACATGATTTGACCCGTTGTGTCACATAATTGGCACATTTTCTTTTGAATTTTGCTCAGCTGAAGTGAAACAGGAAGTGACATCAAAGGGGAACTCTTTAAGAAACAACACTTCCTGGTTTTTTTTATTGAAACAATATTATTTGAACTCTGACTCGCTCACCTCTCAATGATAGTGATTAAAATGATGTAAAGAAACATCAGATTCTTCTCTACAGTCTGTGTTGTTAGCCATTTTAGCAACACTCTGTTTACATTCAGACATTCCCCTTTGACATCACTTCCTGTTTCTTTTACATGCAAATATCTCAACAACTGTTCATCTCACCGGCATGAAATCTTTCGTACAATATGTTATCAATGTGTTCTTTCCAACAATACATTCATATTTATTATAAAAATTTGATGTCACTGGCACTTTAAAGTTCAGCTGTTTGTGCTGTAGTCTGATGGAAACTGTTACAATAACTCATACATGTTTAAAAAACAATAACTTTCAAACCTGTTCCTGGATAATAATAATATACCAGAAGAGCTGCACCAGGGTCCAGGGTGGGAGCGGCTCAAGATTAAAGCGCTTTTATAGCTGACCTACACCCGTTCACCTCAGGACGATGTTTGCAAACTGCTGGACTGTGTTTCAGCTCAACAACAAAAACAGCTGCAGAGTTTCACATCAGCTTCTTCACATTCTTCCAGTTGTTGAAAAAAAAAAAACGTGTTGAAAAAAGGTTTTCAGTCATTTCCTCCTCAGATTTAAATTCTCTTCAGACTGATTTGTGTTCTTTTCAAATAAATCTGAGACATTTTATTAAAGAGTAAATCACTTTTTGTTTTGTAAGGTAAAGCAATTGTTAAACTACAAGGAAAATAAAATAAATGTTACCTGGATGTGTTTAAATCGGCTCATTTTAGCTTATTTTATATATTTTAGGAAAAAAGTCACAATAAACTCAGATAATTGAACTTTTCTTAGCAGTTTTTGAGCCTCTCCCTCTCTTTTCCCTAAACTTAGCTCAACTTTAGCTAATGTTTATCTTAGTTTTTGATAGATTTTTCAACTTTTCAATCTATTCAGACACTAAAATTGCGGACTCGCATTTATGCAAATGAAAATTTTATTGTAAATCTGCTCTAAACATAATATTATTACAAAACTTTTACATTTTCTGCTCAGGTGATGAATAAAATGTTACTATTAATTTAACAGAACAATGCTTTTACTGCTTTTTACTGTTTTTTTTTATTCTGCTTGTAACTTTTTTATTGTCGTATTTTATTCATCCAATGAGCCCTTGTTTTATTTAGTTGTTTTCATTAATATTAATATTCTATATTTTTAAATGTTCTGCTTTGTTTCAGGCTGCTGAGCTGGCGGAGCACTCAGCAAAGATCGCCCTGCTGGAGGAGGCCAGGAGGCGCAAAGAGGAGGAGGCTCAGGCATGGCAGAGCAGGGTGAGAGCTCAAACTCCCGCTAACTTCAAATTAAATGTCTAACATGAGGAGAAACTCATGGCATCTGTCGTCACCAGGCCCAGGAGGCCCAGAACGACCTGGTCCGGACCAAGGAGGAGCTGCACATGGCCATAACGCCGCCGCCGCTGCCGCCGCCGCCCCCTCCCATGTACGACCACATGGACGACAGCAGCGACAGCGAGGAGAACAACAACACGCACAGCGCCGACCTGCTCGTCGAAGGCTTCAACGACCACCGCAACGAGGAGGAGCGCCTGACGGAGGCCGAGAAGAACGAGCGCGTCCAGAAGCAGCTGAGGGTGAGGGCTGTGAAGGCAGCAGGGGAGCAGCTCAGCTCCAACAGCTGCTTACATTCTTATCATTTCAGAAACAGTCCCTGGGCTTTTTGGGTTTGCTTAAACAGGCTGAGCCACAAGTTTTCAATTCTGTGCAGCCTGCATGGTTTGTTATTTTTTTAGATCACTTATTCTTTTTAAAATGAATTAAAATAGAAAAAAATACTGTTTAACTTTGTAGTAGGATCAAACAAACTGACTTCTGCTGCAGGTTTAAACTGAATATCTGAGTCACCCAGGGCAGCTGCTGCAGGGTCCCCACAGATCCATAAAAAGTCTTAAAAGCATTGACTTGATCAGTCTAAAAATAAGGCCTTATTTAGCTTTAAAATATCTAAAATCAATGTTTCAGAAGTCTTAATTGTTACCTGGATGTTTTTAAATTGGCTCATTTTAAGTTATTTTATATATTTTAGGAAAAGAGTCACAAACTCAGATAACTGAACATTTTTTAAGCCTCCTACGAGATTAACCTCATTTTTTTCCCTCCCAAACTTACTATTTAGGTAAAACTGTCACTTTTTTTCTTTCCTTTTATGTTGGTTGGTCTTAAATTTCATTTGAAGTGGCGTTAAAGAAGTCTTAAATTTAACTTACCTTAAGCTGCAGGAACCCTGTGGTGGGACATGTAACTGTCAAAATGGACAGAAATCACCTTGATTTTAAATATAAATATTCATTTTAGTCATAAGTTAAGACAGGAGGGTGCTAGTCACACCAAATTTAAAATCCATAAATTTGTGTTTTCATGTTTATAACTTGTTCTGTTTTAAACTATAAACAGAAAGTGAAATTATATTTACATGTTCAGTCATTTTAGTATTACTTCCTCTTTTAACTTGCTGCACATGTCAACCTGACCAGTCACGGTTAGGACAAACTCCGCCCACACAGCCAAGAAACTCCCCCTGTGTACTGCAGAGACCCCCCACTTGGAAGAACAGTGGCAGACCACTGATTTCTGAGAAGAAACAAGAAAATCAGATCAGAAGCCTGGTGTTTTGCCAATAAATGTTAGATTTTTATTTTTGAAATATCCGGTTACCAAAACAGGATGTGTCGCCACAAGTTCGTGACATTGACAATGATGTTGTGTGGCTGCACTCTGTTCAAATATCGGCATATGACATACTTCCATGCTGATGATCGACTCTTTTAAATGAAACCAGAGAGCGTTGACAGAGAGGAGAAGGTAGAAATGACTCAGCCTGGAACTGAAAATATGGATGGAGGACAACAGAGCTGCTTCATGGAAGAAGAACCTCAGCTTAGCTTGTTGGGTTTAGCGTTAGCCCCGACGCTATATTGCCTTATATGTATTAGCTCAACGTTAGCACGATAAACAAGCTAAACTGAGGTCCTCCATCCATATTTTCAGTTCCAGGCTGAGTCATTTCTACCTTCTCCTCTCTGTCAACGCTCTCTGGTTTCTTTTAAAAGAGTCGATCATCAGATATTGTCCAAGATTAACCTTCAGGGTGGATATAGCTCGCTAGCAGCCTCGCACCGAGGACCTATCCACGTCATCATTTACCCAGAATGCTTTGCGTGTAAATAAAATGGGCCCCGTTCGTGTAATATATTTTTAAACTTTTAGTTTAGAAATGATAAAAACTAAACATCCTACAGTATTTTTACAGTCTTTATTTTACAGTTAAAATATATGTTTATTAAATAAAGTCTAATGTTACAACTAATCATGGATCTATTTAAAACAAAAAAAAAAGGAGTACAAATAAAGAAAAACTCATTCATACTTCATTCTGTGTGCTACTGTAACACTTAGCTGATGATGCTCTGAAGTTTCCCCACTGAGGAACAAGTTGTAAACCTGAATGTAACCGCTGCCTGTTTTTACGTCGTCCGTTTGTCCTCCACTCTAACGCCGCTCCCCCTCTCAGGCCCTGACCTCCGAGCTGGCCCAGGCCCGCGACGAGTCCAAGAACACCCAGAACGACATCCTCCACTCGCAGAACGTGCGGGAAGGCCGAGACAAATACAAGACCCTGCGACAGATCCGGCAGGGCAACACCAAGCAGAGGATCGACGAGTTCGAAGCCTTATAGGAGGCCTTGTTCCCCCTTTCTGAACGGTCTCTACGCCCCTCTGCCGACGAGAGGTCAAACAAAGACGTTAACACACACACACACACACACACACACACACACACACACACTGGTGGTTAAAGCTGGAGCACCACAGAAGAACAGAGATTAACTCTTTCTGAGTTTGTCATGCAGGAATCAGGGCTTTCTAAACTTTCTTTTTTGTTTTGTTTTTTTAAGTAAACTTGGTGCCAAAACCGCCTGTCCTCTTTCTCCTTGTTTTTAATGATTCGATTTAGCGTCTACTTTTGTTCATTTAGAAAGAAAACCACTTTCTGTGGCCCTGCAGAGGGAGTCGTCACGTTTTATCATGGTGTTACGTAATCAAAGCCTCGTTTCTTTTCATGTCTGGCAGGTTTCTGTTTTTGTTTGTTTTCCAGCGATCAATCAGAAAGGGCGAGACAGTATACGCAGGAAAATGTACGTTTGTTTTCCATGTTTGAACACTTCCATTTATGTTTATTATTCCTCTAAAGTAGAATAAAATCATGCTTAGTTATATATTTATACTGTAGATGGGATGTGAAAAGGGTTTTTTGTCTTGGTTTGTATATTTTTGCTGTCTACTAATAAAAGCTTTTATTGTTTCCTACGTATTAACCTAAACACTAGCAGTTTTACGTTCCGTATGTTTTCCTTTAGATCACTTTAATAAAGAGATTTAAATGTAAATTATTATTTTTATTGTGGATGAAATTCTGCTGCTTCTGATTAAATGTTATCGCTGCCTCTCTTTACATCTTCAGAGCTCTGTGCTGACAGACACGTGTAGGTTTGTCTATTTTTGTTTTGTTTTGTAGAACGAGATGAACGTCTTTTTTTTTTGTGAGATTTCAACCTCCTAAAGTGGCCTTTTTGAGTCGCCGCCCCTTTATGTTGATGTTTTTTTTTTCTTTGAGGTTAAATTGAGGTTTAAACAGACCTGAACGTTAGAAAACCACAGTAGCATTTTACTGCTGCTGTAATGCAAACGCACCGCTCTGCTGGACTTTGTATATAACCAGGATTTTATACAGAGGTGTACAACTTATCGGCAATAAAGAGACTTCATTTTACATCAGAGTGGGTTTTATTTGACAGTTTTCAGACCTGCGGCTGCAAAGGTCGTCGATTTTTATAGTTTTGTCTAAAAGAAATAAAAACTTGTGTAAAGTTTTACACAATTATTCCAGCGTGACAGAATTAGTATTTTATTTATTTCTTGTAGTTTTATTGTTTTGTTTACAATGAATAGAATAAATTTTGGACATTTTCTTCAAATAAACCAGATATAAAAGTAGAAAAATGCTTCTAATTAACCAGTTTTCAGTGCAGAAGTTCTTTGAGCATCACTACGACTAAACAAAGAAATAAATATTACATAAATCAAATTAAACATATTTACAGCTGAGACATAATAAATACTTTTAAACAGGATAAAGTGCAGATTTGTTGGTGTTTAAATAAAGGTCAGTGACTGTATTGTCACGCAGCGCTTCCTCACAAACCAGAACGACTCTCATCATCATCGTGCAGGAAGGAGCAGACCCGCTCCGTTCCTGTCAAAGAACCACTTCCTGCCTGGGACGGGGCGGCTGATCGTCCCAACATCCTCCCGTTAGTCTCCCTCTAATCTGGTTTGCAGGGAGGCTTGTCTCCTCTGGTTTGGAGCACCTCATGTTGAGGAGGAACGCAGCAGATTGACCTTTGACCCCCGCAGCAACACTTCCCTTTAAACATTTAGAATCAGTAAATTCTGTCAGACCAGGCCTCATAACTCCCATCTATGAAGCATTCACATTCATTTTTACACGATTATATCGGAGTTTAAACAGTTTAAAGTTTAAACGTTTGCCTCCTGTGAGATGTTTTGGCGCCCATCACTAAAACGATACATTTGATTTTTACAGATGCAGAAGTGGTGTGGTAGTAGCTGAGGGTCATTCCGTTTCAATAAAGGCTAAAAAAAACGTCACTTTTCAGCTTCGTAGTTTAAAACTGGTTTTAAAGGTGGCAGACGTGCATTCCATCAGGAAACCCTGTTTTTGCTATTATTTAAATTTAAATCCTTCATGGGCTCTATATAAAGTGGAACTGCAATGCTTTGGTCTGAATTCCTCCTTATTGTAAGTCCACAAGCCCCGCCCCTTTTCTGACATGTGTCTCAGATCAACTCGTTTCAAGGCTGTCTCTTTAAATCCAAAGGTGCTTCACGTTAGAAATCGGAGAAAACTGAATGACAAAATGTATTTAACGGGTAAAAAAAGTTTGATTTTGCACGATATGTCTCCGGTAAGCATCTTAGCTTCAGAAACGTCATGTAGCATTTATTAAAATACCTCAACGGGATCATCAATAACGTCATTTAGTATCAACCATCGCTCACATAGTTATAAATGATTGATGGTTATAATCAATATAAATAAAATAAACTGATTGGACAGAGGTCGAATTAAAGCTTTATGATGAAATCTTAAAGTCAAATACTTTGCGGGAGCTGACTGTAAGGATCAGGTTCTGTAAAGCAAGCCTGTTGTCCACGCTGCGCCCAGGAATGCTTCGTAGGCGGGGCTAAAGTGCTTTGTAGGCGGGGCTAAAGTGAAGGGTCGCATCAGAAAGTTCAAAGGACACCTGCTATGTCAGGGAACGGTTCACGCCTCTCCCAGAAGAAGTTCTGATCCACCGGCCTGGTTCAGAGAGCCGATCCAGATCCAGACACCTGAACACAACATAAACACAAACCCCTTCAATGGATCCATCCACACACTGTGAACGCACACACACACACCGGGCCACAATGAGATGTTTACACTCTGACTCGGGTGTTCTGACCTGTTTGTATTCAAAGGAACGTGTCTGGCAGCTCTGATAAGGAGTTATAGGATTATTGCTATGTGACCTTGAGTTCACCTCTGTGAGAAACAAAAAAAAACTCTCATCTTCAAAAGGCGATGATTTTCTGACCTCTGCTGCCGAAACAAGAGAACTGTGACGTTCAGACTGCTGAGTGACGATTTGTTTTTGTGTTTTAGTCCCACTTCTGATCCGATTTAACGTTTATGTTGCAGATTTTAGATCCTTATCCGAGCAGCTCACTTTTGTTTCTGAAAAGTGCTGAGTCAGCCTCTGATTTGATGGTTTTCACAGTTAAACCACGTGATAATTCACAAATCAAACACTACAGCGTGATAGTGATTAAACTGTGAAATGAACTCTGACCCGAAAAAACAAACAAAGATTTTCTGCGAAATTGAAAATGTTTAAAGTCAAATGGAACATTTAGATTTTTTTCCATTTAGAAGCATAAAGTTAACTACACCATCGCCTAGTTTCTGCCGGCAATAATTAAACTGATAACAGACAGAAGTGATGTTTCAGACCGTTATCTGCTCACCTTAAGCATAAAAAGATGAATTTCCATTTTGCTCCACTGCGCCTAAATGTGCATTTTCAGCCTGAACACAAAAACATTAAAACAAGATTACAAAATCAAACTTTTTCTAATAAACAAACCAATTAAATCTGAATAAACGAATGATATAAAAACATTTTGTCATTATGACAACCATTACACTACTGATCTTACAGAGAATGAGGGGTGAATATCACAAAGAAACACACTAATACCATAAATTACACACTCAACTCAAAGTTCAAACAGTAATTCTCTTTAGTTTGTTTTCTTATATCCGTTTATTTCAGATGTCAGGTGTGTTGCCTTGTGTTTTCTTGGTGTATATTTAATTTATTTTCTAATATCTCGTTCAGTCTTTCCAATTACATTTCCCCCTTTTTTCCCCTTTCTTCTTTCTATTAAAAAATAAAAATAAAACATCACTGATGATGAAGAAATTAAGAAACTAATATTAAGTTATTTTTTCTACTGAAATGACAAAAAGAAAACAAATAATAAAAAAACAGTAATTCTTATAGCTTTTTAGTAAGATAAGATTTGTAACTGTCTTGCAGGCTTTTCCTCAAACTTTAATACCGTAAGTTAAATGCAGAACATTATATATAAATTAAAAAATATATTCTTATATAATATGTAGTGAGAAGTTCTGTTATCCAGGAGAGACTCAGAGTACTGCAGAGGTCAGAGTACTACAGTACTGATTAAACGATTAGTAAATACCAGGTGTGTTTTTGGCGTTGTACCTTGGGACACAGTGGGTACCAGTGGAAGTTCTCTAAACCCTTCCTGTCTGATCTCCAGCCATCAAGCGGGACGAGAACTTCACCGAGGAACTCTTTCCTTTTCAGGGTCCCTGAATGCCACACGGAGGCCTGCAGCCTCTTCCCGAACAGCAGGGGGCGCTCTATGTCATACTGTCAGAAAATCAGATCAGAAGTTTGCCAAACTCAAACAAGTAGCAGCTGATAATAATAATAACGTTTCATCTTTTTTACCTTTAAAACCTCATTAAAAACCGGATCAGTCGTGTTTCTCTTCAGAGACGTCTTCAGTTTGGTGCTCTTGTCCGGCAGCACGTAGAGTTTGATGTAACTTTAAGAACAAACAGAAAGATGAGGATTTTTCACACAGACTGCAGGGCTGAGCAGGCCTGAGCTGTCCTTACGGGTGGCACTTCTTCTTTTTGCCGTCTCCGTAAGCCAGATTTCTGCAGGCGCCAACGGTGATCTCCAGACAGGAGGCGTGGCTGTCGTAGACCACGGCCATCTCCAGCTCGCCGCCAACGGAAACACTGTCAAAGACGCCACACTCGGTGCTGATGCTGCTGAGGCTGCCCTGAGAGGCCAAGACACCAGATTATAATCACAACCTCGTGTTTCTACAGGATGTCAGCTGAGCCTCCCACCAGCAGCCTCGACTCACCCGGGTTCCCACAGAGTGCTCCGAGCTGAACGAGGTTTCCTCCTCGGCTCCGGTGGACGAGCCGTCCTGGTCGCTGTCTTTGCTTTTCTTGAATAAGTTTGGGAGACTGTCTCCTTTAGACAGCTGCAAAACAAAAAAGTTTGTTTTGAAAACCCTCAAATTCATTTGTGTTGTTTTCCTGACTATATATATAACTTTTATCATTCCTGCCATTTTGACTTACAGAGCAGGATCTGTGGATGTTGGTGTCAGACAGGCTCTTTTGGGTGCTGTACTGAAAACGAGCCCGGTTTTGGGTGCTGTCCACTGTCAGCAGGTCTCCTCGCATGTCAGTCTGAGAAGTGGAAACCTCTGCGATGAGGCAAAATTTGATTTTTTTTAAATATTAGTCAACGATAAAGAAAACATTACATTTCAAATGTGTCTAAAATAGAAAAAAAAAACAACAATCAGATTGCTCTAAAGCAGTGCTGTCAAACTTCATTACACAAAAGGACCTAACTACAAAATTTGGTTCAAGCCAAAAAATTTTTTCCAATCAATAATTCTTAAAGAAATACAAACAACCTCTTCAAAATGATGTTTTGTGCAGCATTTAGAAAATAAACAACTGCCTTACTCTCTATCAAAAAAAATTAAATCCTCAAACTACCTCCAATTTCATACAGACTTCAAGATTTTTCAGCCTTTACAGTCTTTATACATATCAGTAAAATGATCATTGGACTGCTCATTTTATTTTAACAACATATGTACTAAAAGGTATTTAGACAACAAATATATATCAGCTGTAGCAGCATCATATGAATTCTGGCATTTTACACACAGTCCACCAGGAGGCGCCAACACAAAAGTCAGAGACTTCACATGAGATTTGGGCCATCTTGTGGGGCAAAAGCAGATTACTTCCTACTCACGAGCGCTCCCTCTGATGGGGAAACGTTTTTTTCAGGGATACAAACTTTTTCAGAACACCCCTAGATGGCAGCCATTACAGACAAACATGTGTTTGTCGTTGTTTGAGGAGCGGCTCGGTCACACACTAATGTCATTAGTTTGTTATCATTACTGTGGTGCAGGACTACTCCCCCTCTTTTTTCACATCATGTCGCCTACCTGGATCTGTTATTATCTCGCTTTGAAGAACGAAGGCGTGTCAGAGGTAAGCTCGTTTCAACTGCTTTTTTTGACGTGGTCTCATTTCCGGACTCAGTAATTTTGTGAATGAAGTTGATATTTCATTTAAAAAACATAAGTAAAAATATTTATCCGAGTATAATACTACCCCCCAACTTTATGGATGATTTGATGGATTTAATTTTACGT